CTCCACAGAGTCTGCCAGGAAAAACAATGTAGGCAGACTCGAATTTTATTAAAATCAGAAATCGAGCACACTGCTTCCTACTCTTCTGTTACACACTGCAAGATAAACTTTAAAACCTTCTGGAATTTATGAATTATTTCAGCCATCGTATTCCTCATTGTTTTCTTGAAAGGGGCTTTAGGTACAAGTTCTTTACAGAGCATATATTAACAGCCCTTCCCTCTTGGGTCTTCTTCCCCAACCCCAGGAAAGCTACGTCTCCACGTTTGCTCCTGTTTATGTAAGTTAATCTTCTGTATTGTGACAGTTTTTTCCTTCATTAATGAGAGTTCCTAATTGGGCATAATGAAACGTTTACTCATGCTTCTAGATAATATTATATGAAAGCACAGCAGCGATAAGAGACTCTGAAGAAAATAAGCGTTTTAAAGATTTTGGATAAGATATGAAAGCCGTTTTCTTGCCAATATTTTCCTGTTTTATTTGAGATAGTCTTAGTTACACAGCTGCGCCAGGAGTCAGTCTCAAACGACATCCATTATTTATTGGCCTGGTTAGCAAACAAGGACACCTTTGACTACAGCAGATTGTGAGGTCGGTTTGCTGTGCTTTCCACCAGCTGAAGACTAGCTTTTTTGTATTTATATTCTCTACAATTTTCCATTTGGTGTGAGCTTCTCTGGGGAAAGCAATAGGAACTTGGGGGAGGAGAGCAGGAGGGAGCTCGAATTTGTAGAAAGCTGGCATAAGTGTAATTGTGCCTTTTATTTGCTACCCAGGTGCATCAGATCGAGTTACAGTCTCCCCATAAAGGCAAATTTTCCTCAACTTAGTAGAAACTGCAGAAAATATATGTTAAGGAGATAAATTTTGCAACTGTTAGGCATTGAAATGATTCAATACCCGATCTTCCTGCAGAGTAAAATTCAAAGAATTAAATGCTCTTGGGCTGCCCAGAATACACTGAAATTTGCTACTTGATTAAAACTGGCTCGCCAATTTAAAAGTAACTTGCTTGTGATATTCAAAGGGCAAAAATAGAGCTATTTTGCAAGGGCTCCGTGAAGAAGGATGTTGGCACTTGAGGTGCAAAAAAGATTCTTCTCGTACTCTTACCGAAAACGCTCGTGCAACCTGTGGGCATTAAGGGCCTGACGCTGCCCTCTTGGAGTCAGTGAAACCTGGATCCCTGATTGTCCAGGGACACAAGAGCAAGGAATTAGGGTCAGGAACCTGAAAATTAGTACCTACTTGTACTTGAGGTACTGTCTTTTTAACTCCACACATTGGTATCAGTTTCTGTACTTTTTTTAAATGGTTATTTTATTAAAATTAAATATGTAGCAGTTCCGATTTTGAGCTAGTCCTTATTCTGCATGTGAAGACACTTTACGGTGTCCTAGCAAAGGATACAGAGATTGAGACGGTACCAAAAAATTGCTGTCTCTCCCTGCCGGGGCTTGTGGACCAGCTTCTCCTGGCACAGGTAGCCGTAGCTTCAGAACGGGCTTGTTTTAGTGCGGCGTTGCTGGCCGTGCCATCCCCTGGCCTCCGTCTTCCTCCGGGTGGAAGGGCTGAGCAGGGGGAGGTAGGGAAACGTGTCTCGGCGCAGTAAACTTCCACCTTGCTGCTAAAAGTAGCTTTAATCTCTTTCTGCAGAGCAGTGCGACAAGCGGGGTGAATGTAAGAATGAGGGGCTGTACGCAGCCAGACCAAACAGCTCGTCGTTCCGTGTTTGGACGCCCGTAATAGGTGGCGGGAGATACCTATGGGAAAGAATAGGAAAGGACAACCTGGAAATCGAGCGACAGGAGGGATGCGACTTCTGCCCCAGAAAAAGGGGACGTTACTGAAGAGCTGGCTAATTCAACTGTGCATCGTCGCGTTTCACATGCTGTGCTTTGGGGGTACTTTTGGTTTTAAATCACCGTGTAAGAATTCTCCTGTGTGTGGGAAACGAAGATCTCTTAAGGCAGCCTGTGTGCAACTTTGTTAATTTTTTCTCAGATTGGCTATTTTCGTGCCAAGTATAATTTTATAGAAATTATGCTAATGTATTTTGTTGCCAGTACCTATGGCGTTTTGTGAGTACATTGACTTTAACTCTTCAACTCATTCAGAATAATGGTTATGATATTAATGGAGGGGTTTGGTGCACTATGGTGCTTCCTTCTCTTGGTTAGATTGTTGAAACTTGATCCAAAGTACCTTAAAGCAGAGTGGGATGGGGTAATACGGGGAATATGGTCTGTGAAGAAAAGAAGACATTTGTCAGCTGGAATAGAAATTGTCACCTCTTGACACTGGGATAAAAGGTTATTTTGTGAGCAAAAATTGATTTGAAAAATCTTAGATACAGATGGCAATGGATGGAGTTTTTAAGCACTAACTTCAAGTGAACTGTGTAAAACAAAAGGAACTTGAGGGAGAGATGTTGTCTCCAGCATAAACTGGTAGAGCTAAGAATGCTGGAGGAAGGAGAAATTAAGTTGGATAGTGCATTGGATCATTCATGAGCTGTAGCAGCAGCACTGTCTCCTCTTTTCCCTTTCTCCTATCCTGGATAATGCCACATTCTGCTGATCTGTCTTGGAAAATATTCAAGGGTCATGGAGGAGACTTTGGAGGCAACAGCTCAGTGGGAGAACATGTTGTGGGTTGACTTGTCAACAGGAAGGCATCCAGTCATGACGCACGGGTTTGTCTCTCAACAAATTAAACAACCCCCTGCTAAAACTAAGCGTACATTTGGAATGTGCACCTCACGTGTGTGCTGGCGAGACAAGTCAAGTGGGTTCTGAACAGCGCGTCTTCAATGCTGCAGAATAGCACTGTGCAAATACTGCGTGCTTAATTGGCGAGCACTGCAACTACGTTTTAGATTTATTTTGGATTTTGCGGTGGTGTTAGGGATTTGACCAACAGTTTTGTGTTTCTGTTTCAGTAAGGAATGAACTGTGGGGGACCTGTTTACTTCATAGTTTGCTAATAACCTCTAATCTGGACGCCAATGATTGCCTTCGCTCTTTCAGGTTACCTTGCGGCTGATTAGTGCTTCAGTTTTCACCATAGCATGTGTTGAAAGTTTGGATATCTCTAGAGTATGAAATATATATTACTCTGGTATAGTCTGGTCCCGCCCAGGTCATTGCCTGAATAATGTTTTTCCCTTGGAAGAGAAGTAAACTCATCCTCATGGAAGGACTGAGTAGTCTCCTTGCTTCACTTTTTGTCTTTCATTTGTCTTTTATGACATTGGGGTATCACAGGGAGGAGGGAATCTGTATATATATCTGCAATAGGACAGCACTCAATAAGGCAGAGCCATACTGTGTAGTTCAGGTGCTTCTTTGGATATTTTGTTATAAAAACCTCCACACTTCTAGGTTTCTGTCTTCATTTTCAGTATAAATAAGGACATACAGTGTTTAAGCTAATGAGTTCCTTCAGGACAGCATTATGATAATCAGTTGCTGTTTGTTTTCCACAGATTCTCCTTCTTAATCCTTCTTTAGATCCTGGGCTGTAGTCAGAACAAATCTGGAGCATCCACAGCAAGTAGTCTTGGAGGTGCACTGCAGGTAGAGGTGTGCTGTGGCTTTCTCAGTATCTACTTAAATATAGTCATAAAGCCATGATTTAAAAATCAAATCTTTAGTAGGATGGCTCAACTCCCAATGCATGAAGTTGAACTTCGTGTTGATTGGGTGATTTAAAAATCAGATCTTTAGTAGGATGGCTAAACTCCCAATGCATGAAGTTGAACTTCGTGTTGATTGGGTTGTTGGCAAAACCATCTTTCAAATAATTGTGTCTGTGTCAGTTGGAAAAAAAAAAAAAAAACAAACCAGGAGAAAGGAGGAAATCCTTTGATTTCTCTGCCATGGTCTTGAGTAGCATTTTCAGCTCAGTGCTTGGATTCCTTCAGAGCTTCCTGCGCAGGTGTAGCGTACATCTACATAGGCCTGTGCAGGGGTGTGCGGAGAGATTTCTGAATGAATGCGCTTGGCAGCTGAAAGCAACGTCTCTGGTTTGGCGGGAGCCTCCACTCAAGCTTGTTTCTCCTGCTGGGAATTTGCATGGGTGGAGTGCCATTTAATCTGATTCTACTTTTTAATACCTGAACTCGGTTGCCAGTATCACTGCAATTTGCCATACATACCTATGTGTATGTATGCATGCGTGTACATCTAAACACCAAGCTGACCAAAACGTTCATTGATTAGTTCTTCTTCTCTATAAAGCCATACCAAAGTACCGAGGGGGCCCGAAATAAATGTGCAAAGCACACCCAAAATGCCTATCTCATCTCTCCGAATGTTCTACTTCGCAATTCTCCAAAACTTGTGTAACATCACCAGGCATCTTCCTTAGCGTTTCCTTGGTACGCACTTTAAAAAGAAAGAAATCTAATTTACACTCATGATCTTTAATGCTGTGCCACTGAGAGGTGCACTTACAATTCAGATGGCGTAGCTTATCTGACGTCAAAAGACGTACATTGATCTCTGTCAGATAAGGAATTGCTCTTGCGTTCTAGGCTGTTGGAGTTCAAAATGACATTTGTCTGCGTTTTGCTTTCTTTAATGGTATTGTAATCCTGACTGTTTCAAGTAGGATATAAAGGAGCTCAGTTTCGGTGTTGGTTTTCAGGAATGCTTACGAGGAATCTGTAAGGTTGACAGTGCTTAGAGGGACAAATAGCTTAAAGAAATAATATTAACTTTTTTAAGTTTGTGGAAATTTCAGTGCTCTGTGCAGGATCCTGGCCAGCAGAAGGCAGTAACTGCTCAGCTTTGCGTTGTTCAGCATTGCGTGCTCGCTTGCATTAGCCATCTTCACAGTCTAGAGCTACGGACTGAATTTTCAAGGTTTCAGAAGGAGTTAATAGGAAATTTGTTGTTCTACGTGCTCAGTTCTTTATGATTCCCCCTAAATAATGTATTCCCTTTCTTTCCTAGGCCCAAGAGTTTTGCTTTTCATGTACAATAATACTCAGCATGTTGTTATTCTATCACATGCTGGCCGGAGCCTTTCTTCCATTCCTCATCTTTTCAGGAAATTGGGTTTCAGCTGAGAACATCAACTTTTACAATGTGAGACCTCCACTAGACCGTAAGTAGACAGTTATGCTTTTTTTGTGTATGCAATTGTAGCTTAACATTTTAGTTAATTGCCATGTTCTTTCAATCCTTTGGTTTTTAGGTGTTTGTCAAAGATGAAGGATAAAAAGTTTAAAATAAAAAAACTTTTGCTTTTCAACACACAGCAGTTTAGTTTATTTCTAAGATTTCATAAGTTGACTGAATGAAAACAAACAATTGTGTGCATTGCTAAATTATAGAGTGCACGAGGGCAATAGTTTTCACATTTTAAGTGCTTTTATTATATTTTTCTGTCCCTGAAATGTCTTCCTACAGAGCAAATTATGCAGTGTGTTTCTCATAAATAATACAGAACAGATGTGTTTGCCTTTTAGCTTGTTGGGGTTTTTGTAAGGGAAAGAATAGGTGTGCTGTATGCAATTAATTCAAACTGAAGGTAATTAAAAACTTGGTGAGACCTGTGAAGCCAGTTGTCACTAATAGCATCTTTTTTTTTTGCCTCTTATCTAGCATTGGAATTCTATTCCTTCATTTAAAGGGGGAAAGATTTTCATGATATGTATCATTAAAACAGTCAAGACAGCTAGATATAATAGGAATATATGTGCATCTAGGGAACTGTGCATCTTAAAATAATTTATATAGTTATATAATAAGATTTTAAAATAGTCCTCTTGATCCCTTTGTCAAAGGGTTCAGACTTCTTCAGAGTTGGAGATCAAGTTCTGAAGCTGTGTTGAAGATCTATTTTTTTCATCAAAGGAATCAAAAGCCATTTGAATGTAGACTGTGTTTGTGTACCTGTACAAACATACATGCAGATGTACTATCATGTGCATATGTATAAGATGTTCTCTCTTTCCTGTTTTCCCACCACTACCTAAATGGTATTTTGGATTGTGAGAGAATGAAAGCAGGAGGAGGTATTTTAAAGTTCAGGCATAGCAAAACCAGTTAAAAATGTAAAAGCTTTCTACAAAACTTGTTTCATAGGTTTTATTTGTGTCGCAGTGATGTATGATTGAAAATATGTAAATGTATGTAATAAGTTTTTGTAAGTATATGTGTGTACAAGCACTTACAGTATTATTTTGAATATTTTTTTCTTAATATTTGCAAACTTACTGTATTTTAATATTTTTAAAGCCACTCCATTCCCAAACAGTTTTAAGTGCTTTACCTGTGATAATGCAGTGGACAATTACAACTGTAACAGATGGGCTGAAGATAGATGGTGTCCTGAAAGTAAGTGCGCCTGTACTAAGGAGATTCTTGATGATAGTTAAATTTCTTTCTCCCTGACTCGGCCGTCTTGTAGAAGTCTAACTGAATAGGATTAACATGCCAACACAGTGGTGCCCTCAGTTGTGTTATTAGTAACGCTGGGTCATACAGTTTCTGCTGAGGTGAATATTTTGACCATTTCAGAGTGCAAAGCAACAGTGTAAAATTATTTATATCTATGTATACGTATAAAACATTTTATGTAATATGTAACAATACATTATTAATATGGTGATTAATGCGTTATTAATATATCAATAATATATGAATTACCTCTGTGTGTGTGTATATATATACATAGCCATGTGCTTCCTAGGAATTAAGTTCAAAGGTGTTGTTTAAAAAAACTTAAGAATTGCCTTTGTAGCCTTATCCCCTTCCTTTTGGATGCCATCCCAAGACATAATGGTCTCTCTAGGCTATAGGCTTGGTTGTGAGCAGCAAGACCTGAATGACTGGGGATCATACTTGTGTGAGAGAATGATAGATACGTAGAAAAGAATGGAAATATGTTTCCTCATTTTTCTTCGCAGTGACATTCACAGTAACAGTGGGAAAGGGGAAGACGTGAACAAGAGGAATGAGGAAACGTGTCTGAAACAAAGAAAGCAAGAATGTGCTGCAAAAAAGAGTAGAGAATGGAAGATAAATGTGTAGATTATAGTGCTAATAAGTAGTTTAAATGATAGCAGCCTTTCTGGAGGTTTGAAGGGTCAGTTAAGCTTAAGATTTCATCACTAATTAATTCTTGCTGAATGGTGTCTGGATCAAGTTGAAAAATGGCTTTATACAGACAAAATAAGTCATTTTTATGGGAATAGTTTGCTGAATTGTGTGAAGTTTTTAAACCCTGTAAAAGAACGCATACTTTATGCAAATAAACATTTTAAAATTTATTTTGTAGGTACTCAGTACTGTTTGACAGTTCATCTCTTCACAGACCATGGGAAGAGTACATCAGTCACCAAAAAATGTGCTACTGGAGAAGAATGCCATTTTGTAGGCTGCCACCATCACAGAGAGAGTGGCCACACAGTAAGCACTACTCTTTGTATAAGAGCAGCAGTTTGG